GAACGATGTTCCCCTGGATCTGGGTCATGTCTTCTGACGTCCGGCGGGATCGAAGGAGAGCTTGTCCTCGAGCTGCAGCAGTAGATACTGAGGTTAGATCTGATCAAAGGAGAGAATGGTGGACTGTCCAGGATGGTGGAGGGAGGGGAAGATGAGGGAGAGGCGCCCTCACGCCAGGTGAGACCGCCATCCTACTGGGCAGAGGGAAATACTGCTAACCCCAGGCGGGTGGACATCAGGGATGAAGGTCGAGAGCCTATTGAGCTTGTTGTTGGGGGGAGTCCTCCCCTCCCCAGTTTTCTCCACCCTAGGATCTAACAGAAGATGATCAGAGTTCAGCAGGCAGGCCCTGGGAAGGAACCCAAACTTGGAGTCAAGTATGGGGTGTGAACTGGAGACCTTGAACCCTCCTCGTACTGGGGGAGGGGTGGCATGCTCCACCACCACCTTGCCCATTAACCCGGCCCTCCCAACAGGTTAAGTGGGGGCTGAACGCTTCAGCCAGCTCCTCCGAGCTAGAGCTGCAGTCTGTAGGGAAAAGAGGCTGCTGAGGTAGCATCCCATTTTCCCTTCACTGGATCTGAGGGCCTCCTCCTCCTCCTCTCTGGGTTAGTTATCTCCATTCTCCCTTTCAGTCACTCACCCCAGGTCACTCAACACACACACAAACACACACACACACACACACACACACACACACACACACACACACACACGCCTGTGCGCACACACACAGACACACACACAGAGACAGACAGAGAGCTGGCCTTACAACCAGTACTTTCAGAAAAGGTATCAGGATTTTCTGCTGTGCGTCTCACCCCAGCAGACACTAGCAGCCACCAAACCTGCAGCAAAAGCCGTACCCCTTATGCATTTCACGAGTGTTTGTCTCTGCCTGGATGTAATTGTGTTTGAGAACTCTGAATACATGTGTGCACTATGCCTGGCCCACTATCAACAGTTTTGTGCGCATGCCCCTATACAAATGTGTGTGGACAAGAAACTCCTGTTGAATAGGAAGCATGTATGTACCTGGCTTGTTCGCCTCTGAGGATTTGTGAACCACTGGATGGATGGCATGTAAGCACAACCTTATGTGTATGTATTACTTTGTGCGGCCTTGGCCCTTTGTGTGAACATACTTTTGCTAAGCCTCTGTGGGGGTGTGTGCATGACTCTTGTAAATACATGTGCTCTCCAGCCTACTTGAACATGTGTGCACACCTGTGAGCAAGTGTGTCACATTCTTCAGGAACCATGTGACTCAAAACTAAATGCACACATGTACCCATGCACTCCACACTGACTGGCTCCTGCCTGACCCTTAGCACTAATTCCCACTTCTGCTAGCCCTAGGGCTCCCCTTCTGTGCTGAGCAAATAGGAGGCCCCAAAAGCAAACAGGTGTGCCTTTACAGCAAGGTGGGGCTCAGGTAGCCTGAAACCTCCTGTTGCCCCAGCCCTCAAAACAGGAGCTTGAGGAGGCCCTTTCTGTGGTAGAGACCCCCCTTTCTTCCTCTCGTAGCATGCTCACCTTTAACTCCTGAACAGACCCTCCAAATTCCTGCTATTCCTCTGACTAGCTCCAGATTCCTCCCCTCTCTTTAGGGCCATATGGTTAATATTTGACCCAGAAGGAAAGGAGAGGCTGGTGACACCCTCTGACCCTGGCTATGGGTGTCTGATGACATTGGGTGGATCAGGCTTCCTCCACACCTTGCCCAGCCCAGGAAATCTTTGGAAATACCCTGGAGATAAGAGGGAGGCCATGTCACCCACCTCCACCTCGGCTGTAGGACTAAGGGTGGCCAGGAGTCTCAGAATCCCACTGTTCACTGTCTCCACATTGCTTAGGTCTTACCTGGTCTCACACACACTGCAGTCTCCTGCACAGACATTACACTTGTGCAGCTCACGGAACTAGATACCTGCACCTCACTCCCACCCCCTCACACTTGTGCCGCCTGCCAGCAGGTAGGTCTAGCAGGTAGGGACTCGTGTAGATGCCCAGCCAGAGGGTGAGGTATGGACTCGCATGGGCAGGGCAGGGATGTGCACCCCCTCAGAGAAAAATGCCAAAGAGAGTGTCTAATTAAAGAGAAATTCCAAAGGGAGCTCTCAGGCCAATGGGAAAGAAAAAACAAAGGGAAAACAGGACAAAATTAACAAAGGCCCATTAACTGACTCTGCCCAGGCCTTCCTGCAGAAGGCACCCCCGCAGGCAGTACTGCTGGAGGAACAGGCCAATCTAAGAACCAATGCTCTACCTAGATGGCCCCAAGCAGTGTTCTGACTGGGCAAGGGCTGTTACCATGGGTATAGATAGGTTAAAGCTAGTCTAGGGTCTTATAAAGACAGTAAGTTCACCACAGCCTTCTTTAGCAGAGCAGAAATGGACAGAATGTCTGAGACTGCCTTGATGAGGGAGTTCTTTGGATGTCGGGCCTCCCTCTGTCTTTCAGGGCCCCTGAAGTCTGGGTAATGCCAACCATCTTCCACCCACACACAGATCAAAGGGCTTTCCATCAGAGGGATTTTGATTTTGTTTTTGTTTGCTTTTTTTTCCTCCAGAAAACGGAGAGAAACTGGAACTTCCCCCCATACCCTCGGTTGGGGAAAGGTGACCCCTTCAGTCACCTACAACTTTGCTGGGACCCTCCAAAGCCCACTCTCCATGGAATTTGCCTTTGATGCTGAAAGACACGTGACCCGCCCATCCATCCTTCTGACTTCTGAGCTGTGATTCCATGGCCACACAACCTTGTGGCTCCATGTCTCCCCCATTCCAGGATCCTCCATGGCCCCATGACTACCTGATCCCCATGGCCTCATGACCCCTAACCTTCCATGTGATCACAGCCTGGACTTTGACCCCAGTGATTGCTCTTCCCCTCCAGTCCTGTGACTCTGGCCCCAGCTGCCTTTGGGGTCCTGTTGGACTGAACTTACCCAGGAAGATGTGGGGGAGGCTCTGGCCCCTCCTCTTCAGTTTCCTCACAGTAACAGCAGTCCCTGGACCCTCGCTGCGGAGACCATCCCGAGAGCTAGATGCCACCCCACGGACAACCATCTCCTATGGAGGTTAGATTCCCCAACCTTGCAAGGCTATGTCTGCCAGATCTGCAGACAGGAAGTAGCCCCCCACAGACGGCTCTCTGCCACTCTTATTCCCAGAGCTCTCCCAGATCCGGCACTTCAAGGGCCAAGCTCAGAACTATTCCACACTCCTGCTGGAGGACGCTTCCGAAAGGCTGCTGGTGGGAGCTCGAGGTGCCCTGTTCTCTCTCAGTGCCCGTGACATAGGAGATGGGGCTCACAAACAGGTCAGCCCTGGCAACCATGGGGTCTTCAGCCCCCTGGGACCTCAGTTACCTGGAGGCTTTCCCAGCCTTCCAGCCTCTGAGCAGCACGGCCCTTTCCAGCCCAGAGCCCCTTCTCAAATTCACCCCACTCCAGTTTCCCCCGCACTCTGGAGCCCCACTGTGTGATCCTCTGGGTGGTGGATATTGAGGTCAGTATTGCAGTCTGTTCCTCTATTCTCACTAGATCCACTGGGAGGCCTCCCCAGAGATGCAGAGCAAGTGTCACCAGAAAGGGAAAAACAACCAGGTATGTGATCAGCTGTCCCCAGCTCTTCTTTCTTCCTCCTCAACCAGGCAGGGGTCCCAGAACTGGGAGGGACACAGATGGAGAGGTACAGATGAGCAGCCAACTATACACAACCACAGTGAACATTAGGAAAGGCAGGCCTTGGGGTGACCATGTCGCCTGGCTTGTCACAGTATCTTAATCCCCACCCCCGGGGGTCGGATCTCAAATTATCATCGTAACAATAAGTAGCTGCTAATAAGTAACAACCAGATCTAATTCTAAAACAACCTTATGATGCATTATTATCTCCATCTCACAGATAGGAAAAATGAGACTTTGCTGGAACACTAGTCCAAGTACCTGGTGTTCATGGAGGGACCTTAGCCAAGCATTAGTCCTTTCTAGCTAAAAAGCAGGCTGTCTGCTGGGAGGGGGATCATATCTGGCTATGTAACAGCCATTTGCAGAGTTTTCTGTATTTATTTCTGTATTTATTTACCGATTTTGGAGTTTTGTTTTGTTTTTTGTTATGTTTTGTTTTGTTTTTTGATACAGGGTCTCACTATGTAGCCTTGGCTGACCTGGACTTTTAGTATGTAGACCAGGCTGGCCTCAAACTCATAGAGATTTGCTTGCCTCTGCCTCCCAAGTACTGGTATTAAAGGTGTGCACCACCACACCTAGCTAGAGATCTTTTTAAGAATATACATTCTTGCTGGGCGTTGGTGGCGCACGCCTTTAATCCTAGCACTCGGGAGACAGAGACAGTTGGATCTCTGTGAGTTTGAGACCAGCCTGGTCTACAAGAGCTAGTTCCAGGATAGGCTCGAAAGCCACAGAGAAACCCTGTCTCGAAAAACCAAAAGAACAGAATATACATTCTTGGACCAGCGACGTGGCTCAGCAGGTTAAGGTGCTTGCCACCAAGCTTGACGAACCGAACAGTGAAAGGAGAGACAGGTTATCTTCTGATCTTCTTTCCAATGTGTACCATAGCACAGGCATACACATACACACATGAAATAAGTAGATACAAAAGAAAAAAAAAAACCCTAACACATTCCAAGCCAGTTATGGTAGCATTTGCCTGTGTATAAGCACACACACACACACACACACACACACACAGAGTACACATTCACACTGGGCATCGTCGTGTTGCATGCCTATGAAGACAGCCCTATGAAGACAATGAAAGGATTAGGAGTTCAAAGAAAGTCTTGGCCCCAAACAAGTTTGAGTCTAGCCTGGGCTATATGAGATTTTGTCTCAAAACAAAAGCGAGAAATAGCTCAAGGTCCATCAACCTAGAGATTCTGACTCAATGAGTGTGCTGTGCCCCTCTAGAACTGTCTGTCAGAGGCTGCCTCAGTGCATTGTGGTTAATAAACAGAGCTTGTGGGGCAGGAGAACCTAGATCACAAAGTGTCATAAATGCCCAACGCAGGGTTTGGGCTTTATTGTGACAATGACAGCCGTACTGTTTGATGCCTTAGAGGCCCTCATACATGAGTCATAGGTTCCAGATCAGTAGTTCTGGAAAGGGCCCAATTTCTAGATATTTCTAGAAAGCCGTCTGAAGATGCTGTCTCTGGTCCCCAGACGAGTCTGGAAAGGGCCCAAGATATTTCTAGAAAGCCGTCTGAAGATGCTGTCTCTGGTCCCCAGACGACTTTGGGCAGCAAAGTGTCAGAGCGTGTCCCAAAGCATCGTCCTGAAGGACAGTCATTTTCAAAGGAGGAACTGAGTGGTCCAGTATGTTTGCAGAGGGCAACATTCCCATCTCACAGTGCACAGTGACACCCTTAAGGCTCTGAGAAGTCACCTGGTCGAGATAGATGTGTCCACTTCCCAAGCTCATCTGACTACGGAATTCTTCCCAAACTGCCCTTTCTCCGTCCTAAGAGCTACTCTAGGAATGTTTGTCTCATCCCACGTGCCAGATGGATTAAAATAGACTGAGTCTAGAGACAGGAAGAAGAGTGGAAAGTTTGGGGCATCCTAGGGTTTAGAAAGAAGGCCTGAGCAGGCTGACAAGGAACAGACATGATGGCTGCAGCAGGTAACAGAGTAAGTGGAGAGAGGAGTCCTCCATGGATTCAAACTCTGGGTAACGGACAGGAGGATGATGGAGGAGAACTTAGGGCACCTGAGGGGGGCAGAGAAAGCCAGTGTGGCTGGAGATGGAGTGAGCGGTTGGAGCAAACCCAGGGGCACGTGGGAGCATCAGGAGGTGCGGCCTCGCGATGGTCTGTTTACACCTGTGGTGCTTTAGGAAGTGGATTTCGTTGGAGCAAGAGGGTGCTGACAGATGGATCTCTGGACAGAAACTTCTGACATGGTGTCTGCGGCCCCCCTTGCAGGCTTCCTCACAGGGAGACAGGAATACATGAGAGGCTGTTGACAATAGACCCCCTTGTGCTGTTTGAATTTACTTCTGGAGTATCCCTCACTGAGTAAACAGATGCATAGCAGGCTGGAAGGGGGTGGGAGGCCACTAGAGTTGTCCAAGAAAGAGGTGATGATGATTTGTACTGGACGAGAATGGTGAAGGGGCCCGGGTTCAAGAACCTCTTGGCACAGTGAACGTGGGGAGGGACTGAACGTGGCGGTGAGAGAGTGGGCGGGAGCAAAGATGCTCCTGGAGCAGAGCAAGGTGGATGCAGGTTGTGGTGGGAAGGACTGGATAAACAGGTTTCAGAGGGAGGATTTGGGTCAGGAAGGATGGGAGCTTGCTCTTGGACATAGCGAGCAAGAGAGTGAGATTTGTGGGAGCTTCAGGATTAGGGAGGGGCACTGCTAAAAGTAACTCTTGGGCTGGGTGATGTTGGCACAGACCTTTAATCCCAGCACTTGAGAGACAGAGGCAGGCAGATCTCTGTGAGTTCAAGGCCAGCCTGGTCTACGGAGTGAGTACGAGGTTAGCCAGGACTTGTTTACACAGAGAAACTCTGTCTCATAAAAAAAATAATAATAATGTTTAAGCTCATGTCACACTGTCATTGTCCTGAAATGTTTCTCTGTCTTTAAGTGGCAATGGCTCCTGAAGGGTAGGTGGAGGGGACTGCAGGAAACAGACTTAGGAGAAGCTGGCAGAGTGGGGTCAGGTAATCGGAGGCGTCTTGGAAAGTATGTCCTGTAGGTGGGGGGGCAAGAATCAGACCGCAAAGCTAGACTAATAGAGGTGGCGTATATCCAGGCCGAGGACTTACATCACTGCCTCCCTTTGTCCACAGACGGAGTGTTTCAACCACGTGCGGTTCCTGCAGCGGCTCAATGCCACCCACTTTTATGCATGTGGGACCCACGCCTTTCAGCCCCTCTGTGCGGCCATTGTGAGTATCCCTGCCCCAGCCCTGACTGCTAACCCCAGACGACCTGACCTGGGCCGCAGCCCTTGCCCGTCTTCGGGACCATTGACTGACTGGGACCCTCGTTCTCCAGGACGCTGAGGCCTTCGTCTTGCCTACTAGCTTGGAGGAGGGAAAGGAGAAATGTCCTTATGACCCCGCCCGTGGCTTCACAGGCCTCATCATCGGTGAGCAGGCACTCCTGCTGCCCGTCTTCCTCCACAAGAGTGCTCCGATCTCAGTGTGGATCTTGTTGTTAGGATTTGCCATTTATGCACGTCATGTTCCCTATTGTCCATGACATGTATCTCCTGCCTCAGATACAGACCTCTACACAGCTACACGGTATGAATTCCGGAGCATTCCTGACATCCGCCGGAGCCGCCACCCACACTCTCTGAGAACTGAGGAGGCACCCATGCACTGGCTCAATGGTTAGGAGGAGGAGGCAGAGGATAAAGGGGCGGGGTCCAGGTGAGCCTGTCCATTACTCTCCCGTGTAATATGGAGGGAGGGGTGGGGCATGGCTGAGGGCGAGGTCTCAGCCTGTTTCATAAGCCACCCAAATACTCACCCCACAGATGCTGAGTTTGTATTCTCTGTGCTGGTGCGGGAGAGCAAGGCCAGTGCCGTGGGTGACGATGACAAGATTTACTACTTCTTCATGGAACGTGAAGAAGGTTCTAGCAGCTTCACGCAGAGCCGCAGCAGCCACCGTGTGGCTAGAGTAGCCCGTGTGTGCAAGGTGCATATGATGAAGTGAGGGTACGGGGAGAGGCCCGACCTCTGACCCTGACCCTGTGTCCTGCCTCCTCAGGGAGATCTGGGAGGGAAAAAGATCCTGCAGAAGAAGTGGACGTCCTTCCTGAAGGCTCGTCTCATCTGTCACATCCCACAGTACGAGACACTACGTGGCGTCTGCAGCCTGGACGCCGATACATCGGCCCACACACACTTCTATGCAGTCTTCACACTGACAACACAGTGGTAAGCTCAGGCGTGCTGGGAAAGGAAAGGAACTGAAGAAAGCTAAGTGCTGAAGCCGCGATGCTGGGGAGAAGGCTGGGTATAAAATGAAGTGTCAAGCCATGTCAAGCTATCCCAGGGCCAGAGGGCGTTGTGATCCCATAGGCCTAAGGTGGAGCTGGACCGTGGTAACAGTAGCTCCAGATGGAGCGAGGATTGGGGGCAGGCTCCATTTAGAGTGAGTAAGTCCTTCCCTGTGCCCCATTCCTAGGAAGACCCTGGAGGCTTCAGCCATCTGCCGCTATGACCTGGCTGAGATGCAGGCTGTCTTCACAGGCCCCTTCATGGAGTACCAGGATGGTGCCCGGCGATGGGGCCGCTATGAGGGTGGGGTGCCCGAACCCCGGCCTGGCTCGGTGAGCACTCAGGCCTGGAGCCTGTGCTGAGTGGACAAAGCCCTGGGAGGGGAGGAAGGTGGTGGAGTCCTGAGGCTCACCACCCACCCCCCAACCCAGTGCATCACAGATTCATTGCGCAGCCGAGGCTACAACTCATCCCAAGACTTGCCATCCCCGGTCCTGGACTTTGTGAAGTTGCACCCGCTGATGGCTCGGCCTGTGGTGCCCACGCGTGGGCGGCCCCTGCTGCTGAAGCGCAATGTACGCTACACACATCTCACGGGAACACACGTCAGCACACCTGCTGGACCCACCTATGACCTGCTCTTTCTGGGCACAGGTGCTTCTGACCCAAATCCCTGATTCCCTAATGGCCTTGGTTATCAATGCATCTGAACACAGTAGTTCCTGCCACATTGGCCTGGGGTGCCCCGTGTCCTGAGGGACCACTGCTGGTGGCTGATTCCTTGTCTCTAACCTTACGATTCCTGAGCTGTCTCCATTAGGCCTCCTGTGGGGTGCTGAGGACATATCACACTGTTGGGTTCTGACTTTTGTCCATTCTACATCAGCTGATGGCTGGATCCACAAGGCCGTAGTCCTGAGCTCTGGGATGCACATTATCGAAGAGATGCAAGTGTTCAGGGAGCCCCAGTCTGTGGACAATCTAGTCATCTCTCCCATGCAGGTAGCCCTGACTTCTGGTCTCAGTATGCTAACAGAGAAGGGGACTGGGGAGGCTGGGTAGAGGCAGGGGGAGGTTACTGACCGACTGCACTCTGGTTCCAGCACAGCCTCTATGTGGGGGCTGCTAGTGGAGTCATCCAGTTTCCTCTGTCCAGCTGTTCACGCTACCGCTCCTGCTACGACTGCATCCTGGCACGGGACCCCTACTGTGGCTGGGACTCCAGCACCCATGCCTGCATGGTGGCCACCACCATAGCCAACAGGTCCCAGGGTAGAGGTTGGAAGTAGGGCTGGGGTACATGTGCCCTCAATGGAGAACAAAAGCCCACCGACCCATAAGGGATGTGAGCTGTTGTTATTGGTAATCCTGCTGTGTATTTCTTCTTGTTCATGAATCTTGATTTCCTGTTCCAGGACAGCACTGATACAGGACGTAGAAAGAGGAAATCGAGGCTGCGAGGGCAGCAGGGGTATGGGTAAGTGGAATTCATCCATTTCTGAGTGGCTGTGTTTGTGTGGTTTTGGTGAGGATGACCCAGAACAGGGTGAGTGCTCGATGGATATTTATTTGCCAAATAAACTGTAAACGAGGAAACAGGCTTGAGACTTGGAGACAGTTGGGGGTGAAACTCATTGGCAGAGAGCTCTTCTTGCCTGACATGTGGGTTTACTCTCTAGCAACACACACACAGACAGAGACAGACAGAGAGAGATGGGGGTGGAGAGTTAGTGAGTTAGTTAGGGTTTTATGATCACATCTAAAGTGTATGCCTGGCCGGGCAGTGGTGGCGCACGCCTTTAATCCCAGCACTCGGGAGGCAGAGGCAGGTGAATCTCTGTGGGTTCAAAGCCAGCCTAATCTACAGAGCTAGTTCCAGGACAGCCAGAGCGGTTACACAGAGAAGTCCTGTCTCAAAATATCAAAATAAATAAATAAATAAAGTATATGCCTAAGTGGTGGGGGAATGTAAATACAATAACTATAATTATTAGTAGTTGCAACTACAGTGAGGTACAGAATGGTGATGTGTTTTTCTCCAAAGAAAGATCATGTGGCAAAACTGATATCACAAGGAATAAAAAAAAAGTCAGTAATCAGAGCTGAGACGTGCCAAGCACTGATCTAAATACATCCATGTGTCTATGCTCACAGCACTCTACATGAAAGGCATCATTGTCATCCCCATGAGAGACAACCCCTCTGAGGCATGGGGAATATGAGGAAACTGTCCATGGTTACCCAGCTATGAGGTGGCAGGATCAGAGTTAACCCTGCTTGAAGCAGTTGGATTCAAGCTTATGCTTTTGATTGAAACCGTGCCATCTGCAAGCTAACCAAGCAGGGGCTGGAGGCCATGAGTAGGGCAATGACACTCAAACAGCAGGGTCAGTGGGAAGAGAGAGCTTGGGAGGAAAAGATTGGAGAGGTGAGCAGGGCATGTGGACAGTTTGGGTCCTTATATGAAAAGCAACAGGAAACCTCTGAAGAGTTTTACACCAAGGAATAATCTGATCAGATTCATATCATTAAAAGGTTTTTGCTGTTTATTTATTTATTTGGTTTTCAAGTCAGGGTTTCTCTGTGTAGCCCTGGCTGACCTGGAACTCACTCTGTAGACCAGGTTGACCTCAAACTCAGAACTCAGATCCTCCTGCCTCTGCCTCCTGAGTGCTGGCATTAAAGGTGTGCACCACCACTGCCTGGCTTAGTAAACATTTAAAAATATTTTATGAGTGCATTTTCCTGCATGTATCTATGTGTACTATGTGCATGCCTGATGCCTGGGGACGTTGGAAGAGTATTTCCTTCTCTGGAACTGAAGTTATGGGTGTTCATGAGCCAGCATGTGGATGCTGGTACCAAACTCAGGTCCTCGGCAGCAAGGGCAACAAGTGCTCCTAACCATTGAGCCATCTCTCCAGCCCCAGTATTAAAAATTTTAAACTATATGTAGTTTGCTCACAAGCATGTGTGGGATGTGGATGTCCACTTGTAAGATATCTTAGGGGAGCTGGGCGTTGGTGGCACACACCTTTAATCCCAGCACTCGGGAGGCAGAGGCAGGTGGATCTCTGTGAGTTCGAGACCAGCCTGGTCTCCAGAGTGAGTTTCAGGACAGCCTCCAAAGCCACAGAGAAACCCTGTCTTGGAAGAAAAGAAAAGAAAAGAAAAGGAGAGATATCTTAGGGGAGTCGGTTTTCCCCTACATGTGAGTCCCAGGGATTGAACTCAGGTTGTCAAGCTTGGCAGCAAACACCTATACTCACTGACCTCTCTCCTCAGTCTAGATTTGTGTTTTCAAGGGATCAGCTATAGTAGCAAAGAACAGACACCGAATGAGGGCCCTAGAGGGCAGGCAGCCATGGAAGGAGAGAAGCGAACAGGTCTGAGAGTCTCATGAGGGTAGACATGAAGAAGAGAGGTGAGGGAGATTCCCGGGTCCTGATGAACAGCGCTGGGCAGCTGGTGGCTGCAATGCAAAGAAAGGACCAGGTGGTTGATGAATAAGCTTTTGGCCTTGGTGAGATTCCCAGCACATGGCAAACATTCAGGTCTAGTGTTCTGGAAAGGGAGACCTTGGTAGGAACTGAAACCACAGGGAAGAGAAGCTTAGGGAAGAAAAGGCCCAAGACACTGCCTGCTTCCTAGGAAGGGCCAGTGTGCACCCTGGGAAGCATGCACTAGCAGGCTTGCTTAGCTGTCACCGATTCTAGACGTGGCGCCTGGTGCCAAGAATTTAGCTGTCTACAGTCTGTCTTGCATTTCCAGTGTTGTCTGGGATGGGCAGATGATACTGACCTTTCTTCTCCCATCCTCCCCAGGACCGCCACCACCACTGAAGACCCGCTCTGTGCTCCGGGGTGATGATGTCCTCCTGCCTTGTGACCAGCCATCTAACCTGGCCCGAGCTTTGTGGCTACTCAATGGGAGCAAGAGCCTGAGTGACGGGCAGGATGGCTACCGAGTGGGAGTGGATGGGCTGCTGGTAACAGACACACAGCTGGAGCACAGTGGCAATTACGGCTGCTATGCTGAGGAGAATGGTCTCCGTATGCTTCTGGCTTCCTACAGCCTCACAGTCCGGCCAGCCACCCCTGCCCCGGCTCCACAAGCCCCTGCCATGCCAGGGGCACAGCTGGCACGTGACATGAGGTTGTTCTACGTGGTAGCCATTGCTATACTCGGTGGCCTCTGCCTCATCCTGGCATCTTCCCTCCTCTATGTGGCATGTCTGAAGGGAGGCAGACGAGGTCGAAGGCGAAAATACTCATTAGGCCGGGCAGGGGGCTCAGCCGTGCAGCTGCAGACAGTCTCAGGCCAGTGTCCAACAATGGCGTGCCAGCAGGACCCTGCTCCTTTGCAGAGGAGCTCAGCCGCATCCTGGAGAAGAGGAAGCACACACAGCTTGTAGAGCAGCTAGATGAGAGCTCTGTCTGAGCCTAGCTTCCCAAACAAATGCTCTGCCTCCCCAACACAGCCACCCTCCTTCATGCTCCCAACTCCATTCCCCTCTTCCAACTTTTTGATGTCTCTGTAGGGCTGGCCAGAGTCCTGGTTAGCCAAAACCCCCTCTCCAGTCTCCAAGGCACACGTGTGAGCAGCCCAGGCCCACCGGTGCTCCTCAAAGGTAGGTGCTCCCTCAGGACCAAGTACTCTGCAAACCCAGACCCAGTTTCTAGCCCTTAACCTAAAAGCTCGGGAGGAGAGGACTGTCTTCTTATCCCATTAGCTGCCCACCCTTCCTCTCTTCTCAGGTAGGGCTCTGCAGGTCCAGATGGCCTCAATGTCACCACGCTCTGCACAGCTCTGTGTGCTGGGTAGTCATGAATTCAGACAAGACCTCTCTCTACCAGCCACCTGAGTCCTGCTTACATTCACATGTGCACATGGAAGAATGTTTATCAGCTGGGCTGCAGTGTCCCTCCTCCTCCTCCTGGTGCATCCTAGTTTCATTCCTCCCAGATCCGGGGCACCCTCCCAATTGTCACCCTCCTGTCTAGTCCTCTTTCCAGTCCCAGCCCCATGTGGTAACCCTTTGGCAAGAAGACTGGGAATAGGCCAGCCTGGGAGGTAAGAAACACCCTCCCCTCTTCTCCCTTCCTGTGTAGCCCTCGTGAGTCAGCCTACTGGCTCCTCTCCTCTCATTCACACGCTGAGTGCCAGCGCTCCAGGCATGTGTTGTGTGTTCCCCCCCATGCATATGTGGAAACACACCCATATCTCCTGCTCACACCCCCCATGCATATGTGGAAACATACCCACATCTCCTGCTCACACCCCCCCCATGCATATGTGGAAACATACCCACATCTCCTGCTCACCCCCCCCATGCATATGTGGAAACATACCCACATCTCCTGCTCACCCCCCCCATGCATATGTGGAAACATACCCACATCTCCTGCTCACCCCCCCCATGCATATGTGGAAACATACCCACATCTCCTGCTCACCCCCCCCATGCATATGTGGAAACATACCCACATCTCCTGCTCACCCCCCCCATGCATATGTGGAAACATACCCACATCTCCTGCTCACCCCCCCCATGCATATGTGGAAACATACCCACATCTCCTGCTCACCCCCCCCATGCATATGTGGAAACACGCCCATATCTCCTGCTCACCCCCCCATGCATATGTGGAAACACACCCATATCTCCTGCTCACCCCCCCCATGCATATGTGGAAACATACCCACATCTCCTGCTCCCCCCCCCATGCATAT